CATATGTCGCTTTTTTTGACTACTTTATGCATACCAGCTGGTAAAATACCACCGTGTGTACCAACATACGAGCACATATAGCCCAGACCAAGACCTTATCCTTATCCTTTTGTTTTGTAACTTTAGGTTTTGTTTTTTGCTCCAGATCAAACGAATCAAGACAACTGAACTACAAGTGTGAACACACCCTTATTTTCAGTCAGCAAAACAGTTTTTCATTTAGTTTTCATTTACGCTTATAACACTGACCACACCTCAACTGGACAGACTCGACAGAAAGAGTAAAACCATGGCTCTGCAAGTGGGTCACTACTAAGACATGATCAAATAAGACAGAGAGAGACTTTCTCTGAGGCTATTCTGCATCACAGCGTCTCTCCAATTAAGTCAAGCGCACCCTGAGATGTCGCCAGCACGATAGCACATAGATCTGGCATTACCGCTAACATGTGTTTCTCTCCATTTCTCTAAAGACACAGTAGGACAGCTTGTTAGAGTTGAATGTTAAGTTGTGTGCTCTGTTGGAGAGCCTACAGCACTTGTGCGGATGGAGGCGAGTGTTGTGCTGCTGAGGATGTCTAATTTAGCCAGTAGCACCTCATTGCAGTACATGAGATCCAGGGGGTGGAGTTGGATCCAGATCTAGGGGGTGGAGATGGGTAGGATTAGGGGTGGGGTTAGGGATCAGGGGGCGGAGATGGGTAGGTTTACGTATATCCAGATCCAACTCCTCCTCCTGGATTTCGCGTTCTGAGGTGAGGACCATCTAAATTTAGCCGAGATCAGTAGAGGTGTGCGTCTGGGCGACGCTCTCATGACCATCCCTGTATCACATACTTTGCCAGGTTTATCTCGTGTTGCCTAACAAATGATGTCTGAGAACCTGGAGGCGTGTAATTGTATCCTTTTTGAATGCGACTACACATGTTACAGTTAAACTTGCTTGTGCAATTCGCCATTAATCCTCTGCTACGCCAATAATGGAGGTATTCAAATCTGGGCGTATACCTCATTCCCCAACAAAACATTATGGAGGGGTGTATAAAACCATTTTTCTCGCATGTTCAAAGAGTTCCTGCTGCATTTCAGCCCCTGCAGAGATAAAAGACTCTCCGGCGGTGAATGGAGCGGGAGGGAGTGTAGCGTTCCGCTTCATCTTTCTCCCGTCACACCAGAAGAGGGTCAAGGCGGGGGTTATGTGCGTGGCAGAACCGGTCAGGCTTTGTAGACAGTCTCCCTAATCAGCTTGGCTGTGTGTCAGGTGATCAGATGTACTGTAGTTAGATTAAAGGGTCACAAGGATTGGAAAAGAGGATTAACGAAGCAGGACCTCTGCCTACCGCTGTGGTTCTAATGGGCTCGTAACCGTATGTCCATCCCATACCATCAGTTAAATTACCTTTCGAATCGGCATTTTTCATGAATGTATTGTTGTCAGAAATAAGATGAATGGAAAATAAACACAGTTATTCGTTCTGGGCTCATTAAGGGTTCATCAGATACTGTAAACAAGTTAGAGGCAGCAGTGACACCTGGTGGAGATCATCAATTTCACTGTGCTGAACCATGCAAAATGGCATGGATGATTGATTGAAGAGTGATTATTGGCCATGGTTTATTAGTTTTGGGTTCACACGGCACAGGAGATGAACCTTTGCATCTCATTTTAAAGGGTCGGACGGCCCATCCTTGACTGATGCTTAAAATGTTTCTGATGTTTCAAAGGGATTGATTCTGTGGGCAGCAACATGCTTTTAATTGAGTCTCCACCAAGGCTGCATTTATTTGACTAATAATACTATTACGATTTATTTTCCATTTGAATGAACTTCCAATTGTAACTTATTTTTGTGATGAGAAAGCATTCTTATATGCTGATTTGAATCCTCCAGAAATCTGATTCTAATATTTTTGTTGAAACTGTGATGCATTTCTTTCAGGAATCTCAGTTCAAAGTTGAAAAGAACAGCATTTATTTACAATAAAAATTGGTTTGATCAATTTAATTGTTTTTTGCTGAATTATTAAAGAAATTATTTAAAAACAATCTTAATGACCCCAAACCTTTGAATGGTAGTGTACAAAAATATGCATTAAACAAAAATACATTATGATTGTATGATACAATATAATATCATTTTTATTGTTATGCAATGTAAATACAATAGAGAAATAGGTTCTCTATTTTGTCACCAAGGGGTTCTTGGTCTTTCAGAGAGAAAAGAAGCAAGAAATCCTAATGATGACTCATTAAAAGAGCCCTGTTGCCTTTATCTGTCCAATCACACCTCACTCAGTTCCTGTTTTACACACACTCTGTGTACGTGAGTGTGTACATGTGTACATGCAGCTAATCTCTTCTTCAGTCTTTGCTCCTGATTGGTGTGCATGGTACCCATATCATGGTACCCATATCACCCTCATGATATCTGTATTCTGCATGGGTATTCTGGCATTTGTATTACAAAAATACAATTTTTTGTAAATTTGTATTTTGTAATGGGGGGGGGGGGGGCACAATGTGCTCTGATTGGTCGGCAGGGCCAGTGTGTTGTGATTGGTTAATCGCTTTGAGTGTGTTTCAGAAATGTCATGCCACTTTCCATAACATGCCATGGGCAGGAACTATTTAAATGAGGAATGTTGTTACTTGTACATTCTCGGAAGATTTACTGTTTATAGAGAACACTGATACAGAGAATTGAAACTGCCTTGGAGTGGACTTGTGATTTGAAACTTTGCAGGCCTTTTTCATGCTCAAACAGCAACATTGCACATTAAAGTAAGTTGAAAATAAATCGAAAACATAAAAGTAGATCCTCTTTAAAAGACTCTCTGGAACACTTGATTCTGATTGGTCAGTCACTGTATTCTGCAAGCAAATATATTTGCGTAATGAAATTGTATTATTGTTCCCAGTATTTTAGTATTATTGTTAATTTCACATAAAAGAAATTCATTTCATACAAAACATTTCTGCTTTCATTCAGATAATTGATTTAGATAATTTAGTATGTTTAGATGACTAAGCAACTCTTTCAGGAGGGCTTTTAAAATGGATATTTAAGAATTGCAAAAGTAAAATTACAAGACAGACACACTTTTGGCATCTCCTCAAGCCAACAGATCCTCCATCACCAGCAGGTCATAAAAGGCAGGCTGGGAATGCGGCATAAACACAAGACCAGACACGATTCCCGGTTCCAGGTCAAGATTCCCCTCTGCCACTATGAAAAAAACTTTTCTTTTTTCCTGATTCATTGGCTTTTACTTCACAGACATGAAATCAGTGTGTTTACCAGTGCTTCTAGTTTCTCTAACTTCTGATTATGTTCGAGACAAATGTTGGGGTGGGTTAAATGAAAGCAGCTTTTGTGTGTCAAAGGCAATGTCGATTTCCTGATTTGAGATTTCTTTGTCTAAATGAGCTCTTTAAATTATAAGCCTTTATGTGATCATGTAGGATGTGAACTGTGCTAAAGATTCGTCTTTTAACATCTTTCTTTTGCTTTGACAGATGTCTTCTATTTAACTTATGTAGCTGCAGTGCATTCTGGGATATGGTATTGTATGTCAGTGCATAATAGAAAGCAGCACCATTTCAAAATGGCTATGATTCCGGGATGACCAAATTACGTTTTGGGAGTTTTCACAGTAAACCAGCTTTCATAACATAAGAAATTATGTTTAGAGAAACTTGAGGAATGAGGAGGGTAAAAAAAAAAATTCACCAGATCCATGTAAATGAAAAATCAGGGGCCACACAGAACTGCAGATCATCTTGATTTCATTAACTGGCACGATCTCATCTCAATGCTTGTTTGTTTGTTTTTAGGGAAATGTATTCTTTTTTTCTGAAAGGATTCATTAAACATCAAAAATGACTGTAAAGACTTTCAGAATTAAAAAAAAAAATCTATTTAAAATAAATACTGTTCTTCTGATTGAACCTTCTATATTAAATAGTTCTGTAAAAAATGTATCATGGTTTCCACAAAAAAAAATATTAAAGGGTTAGTTCACCCAAAAATAAAAATTAAGTCATTAATTACTCACCCCCATGCTGTACCAACCACGTAAGACCTTCGTTCGTCTTCGGAACACAAATGAAGATATTTTTGATTAAATTTGAGAGCTGTATAACTACCACATTGGCTCCTGAGGGACTGCCTCTTGACGGCCCAGAAAGTCAATGAAGAAAATGTTTAAATATCCCAAGTGACTACCGTGGCTCAACTATATGTTTATCAAGCGACGCGAATACTTTTCGTGCGAAAAAACAATAAAAAATAACGAGTTTATTCGACTATTTCTTTTCTTCCTTGTAGGCCAGAACGAGACTTCCTTAGATTTCCACGACGCATGCGCGAGAATTGCGATCTGAAGTAGTGTAAGCTGTTGTACGCAGATCGCAAATCTCGCGCATGCGTCGTGGAAATCTATAAGGAAGTCTCGTTCTGGCCTACAAGGAAGAAAAGAAATAGTCGAATAAACTCGTTATTTTTTATTGTTTTTTCGCACGAAAAGTATTCGCGTCGCTTGATAAACATATAGTTGAGCCACGGTAGTCACTTGGGATATTTAAACATTTTCTTCATTGACTTTCTGGGCCGTCAAGAGGCAGTCCCTCAGGAGCCAATGTGGTAGTTATACAGCTCTCAAATTTAATCAAAAATATCTTCATTTGTGTTCCGAAGACGAACGAAGGTCTTACGGGGTTGGTACAGCATGGGGGTGAGTAATTAATGACTTAATTTTCATTTTTGGGTGAACTAACCCTTTAAGCAGCACACAATTGATTTGTTTTCAACATTGATAATAATAAGAAATGTGTTTAAGTTGTACTAATATTTCACATAATTACTGTTTACTGTATTTTGATCAAATAAATAATATAAATTACATAAAATGAAAAAAAGACTTCTAATGTTGAATTTTAGTGTATGTGATGTAACTTTCTAATCCTTATTTCTGTTTCCCCCCTTTTGTTCTTTGTACAGATTCATCTTCAAACTACATCCGCCAACTGGAGACTAAAGTCCGCATTTTAGAGGATGATCACAAGCAATTGTTATCCCAGGTAAGAGTCTAATCCGCCGGCAAAGTGATGGAAACGTACATAAAAAGAAAAAATAATACCTTCCTTCCCAGACAGCTCTTAGAGGTTAGCCAATCATAATAGGACCATTTGCATTCAGAATGTATATAGTAATGAGCCAGTAGAATTGTAATGGTCAGAAAGAGTGGAAAGCAGATAAAATAGATAATCATTAATAATAATTTAAGTGTGGTCCTATTATGCTTTTTCACTTTTCAATTTTAGTTAGTCTGTTTCTGTATGAGCATAAACAAATATCTGCAAGGTTACAAAGTTCACTCCAAAGGGATATTTTATTTGACAGAATCCTTTAAAGAACTACAACAAACGACTTGTTTGGGCTTTTTTTTTTGGACCATAATGTTATAATGTCACCCATTTAAATAATCCCCGCCCACAGAATACACCAGAGTAGAGTAGCATTTACACTTTTAAGTGTGTTTGTGTTGTAGATTGTAGCATTGTAATACAAGAGGTAGGTAGTTGGGATGGTATCAAATATTTTACCAATTTAGTCACATCTGACTTTCACATCTAAGGTGATTAGAAGACGTTCATTAAAGATGTTGTTTTTAATTACATCTTGTTCCTTAAATGCATGTCATTGCACCAAGACTTACATCTTTAACTGTGGCTGAATCTCAAAGCTTTGGTGCTGAAATGAGACTCTGATTTCGTTTTATGACACTGTAAGTGCTTTGCACAAAAAGCCCTGGAGCTCCAACAGTTATATGAGACAAAGATACAGATCTGTCACTAACAATTTTCTGTTTCAGACGGTCTTCATCTCCCATTTTCCGAGCCCAGATTTATAGTCAGAGATAGAACATCCATCTCAATATTTATAGACGGCACATGCGACTAGTTGCTGTCAGTTTAATTGCATACGCTCATCTCTGATATTCTAATGATACTTCTTCATTTTCTTTCTCTGATGATGGATAGAGCTGCTATTTCTTTTATTGCCTCCATAGATAACTCAATTCTTTGTAGAAAGATATCTCGGAATTTGCAAGTATTGTATATTTTGTATTTTATATTGTGCCCGATAACCTTCAAGAATGGCTGATAGAGGTATTCTTGCTGTTGCTATAAGAAATTTGAGCATTTCATAGAATGTTTTTTTAGCTGAAGGGACTTTTAGTACAATCATTTAGCTATAACTGTCTCTGTATTCCTCTAGCAGGTAGTAAACCAGATATTAAGCTGCCTTTGGCTGCGTAATGTAGATGAGAAGAATGTCGTTACCTTCAGGGTCATCAGTCCATGCCAAAGATCTCATTCATGGGTCAAACCTGTGTTCAATTATGCATGCTTTGTAAAACATTGTGAGCAGAAAGGAATTCCTTTTCTAGTCTTTTTTTTTTTCTTTTGATTGAGTCGTTTACCAGTCAAAGGTTTGGAAACATTACTTTTTTTAAAAAATGTTTCAGAGAGAAGTCTCTTATGCTCATCAAGTCTGCATTTGATCAAAAATATAGAAAAAAACTGTAATATTGTAAAATATTACAATTTAAAATAAGGGACTTTAAAATATAATTTATTTCTGTGTTGCATAGCTGAATTTTCATCAACCATTACTCCAGTCTGCTCTTCAGTGTCACTCGATCCTTCGGAAATCATTCTAACTTAATGTTTATTATAGGAATTTTTCCAAACTTTTGACTGGTATAATTTTAACTTACTAACATAAGTTTAGAGAGAGAGAGACAGACAGACAGACAGACAGACAGATGTTGAATCATGTTTGCATTTTTAACATTGTTCATTTAAAAAAAAGAAATATGAGACCCTTTCTGTCCAACCATGGGTTTAGCTAAAGTCTCATGTTCTCTTAGCAGAACTTTTATTAGTACATGCTGGCCGGTTACGCAACTTACGCACGTAGGCACATAGAAAACTTTTGTAACAATCCACTTTTCTCTGAAAAAAGTTCATAGCCTCAATTAAGCTCCAGTAATCCCTTTGTGAGCACACAACAGCAGTCAACATACAGGGCATCAAAGTTCAAAATGGGGATAATCACACACAGATGCTTTTACCATGGAATATTCATTCATTTCTCCATTATGCTGAGGGATTTTCGAAATGTTTTTATTCCATTATTTCATGGCTTGTGACACTCAAATATGCAGCGGTAAGAGTTTTGCGGACAGGTGCCTTTTGGCTAAATTTCTTAGGTCATTATTTATGAAGCGTGACTGACATTACCTCTCAGCTCCAGAACTTTCTGTTTTGCTTTTTTGCCTTTTTCCCTTTTCTCAGATCACCTCTCAGGAAATGATCTCACCACGTGCTATCCACTATCAATTTTTCATTCGCAAACATTTTACAGAGGTCTTGTTATCATCCCTTAGTCAAATATGTTGAAGACAGCACATTCTACATTACGGATCATAACAGTTGTTTTTCCAGTTTCATGCCCATAATGATAGAGGAAGTGGTTGTCCCTGTGGTTTCTTTGTGCTTGGACTGCTAGAACTTTATCCGTGTTCATCTGATAAGAACGAATAGGTTACCTAACGTAACCTCTGTTCTCTCTAGATGAGGCAAGTTTAGCTCATGCTACGGGAAAGATTCATCTTCTCGAGATATTGAAGCCAAAAATTATCCTTAATTTTTGTATCTATTGTCAACTCAGTGTAGCAGCTAGCAGAACTAGAGCAGGGTGTCTAGCGTGCCCATTGGCTGCAGCCGCGCCGAGGCTCATTCAGAGCAATTGAATGTGAAACGTAGTTAAACGTAGTTAAATTAATTAACTAATTAATCACAATACTGATATTAATTTGAATAAATAATGAAAACTTAAAACATTCCAGTAGAAACATATTATAATACAGTATAACGCGTATATATAACACCTGGATAGAACTGGCATCTCACTTTAACTGACAGCAGTTTAGTCTGCAGAGCGGGCTACTTCCAGGAACTTCCAGGTTATGAAACCTGACAAAGGTGGATGGGGAGGCCCAGTCTGCTGCCACACATATGTCATGACTATGACACATGGATCATGCCCATGAAGAGACCATGCCTCTGGAGGAATGAGCCCTGACGCCCAAAGGGCATTGCAGACCTTTTGAAGCATAAGCAGCTGCAATAACGTCCACTATCCATCTAGATAGGCTCTGTTTTGAGGCGGTGAGACGAACAAAACTAAAAGCTTCTCCGAGCACCTGAAAGGGGCAGAGCGGGTAATGTAAACCTTCAATGCCCTGACTGGTCAGAGGAGATTAACATCGCTCACACTATCGGATGCTGGCAGAACCGATAGGGAAATTACCTCTGCTCTGAACGGAGTGCCAATCACTTTAGGAACTTATCCATGTCTAGGTTTGAGGATGACTTTTGAGTCATTTGGTCCGAACTCAAGATACGCAGTGCTGACAGACAGACCCCCACACGTTTGACTGATGACAGTGCGATCAGAAAAACGGTTTTGAGTGATAGGTATTTTAGATCTAAAGGGGGTCGAGGGGGAATGCTTTCAGGGCCTCGAGAACCAAAGAAAGATCCCAACCCTGC